CCCCAAGCCCTACACCCCCTTTCCTCGGGAAGGCTTGATAAAAATCCTCACCAATTTGTACAGGTGAACACAGACCCAAACCCTTGGATCTTAAAAACAATGAAAAATCAATCAGGTTCTTAAAAGAAGAATTTTAATTAAAGAAAAGGTAAAAGAATCACCTCTGTAAAATCAGGATGGTAAATACCTTACAGGGTAATCAGATTCAAAACATAGAGAATCCCTCTAGGCAAAACCTTAAGTTACAAAAAGACACAAAAGCAGGAATATACATTCCATCCTGCACAGCTATTTTACCAGCAATTAAACAAAAGGAAATCGAACGCATTTCTAGCTAGATTACTTACTAACTAACAAAAGTTCTGAGACTGCATTCCTGATCTGTTCCTGGCAAAAGCCTAACACAGACAGACGAACCCTTTGTTCCCGCACTCCAGATTTGAAAGTATCTTGTCTCCTCATTGGTCATTTGGGGTCAGGTGCCGGTGAGGTTACCTTAGCTTCTTAACCCTTTACAGGTGAAAGGATTTTGCCTCTGGCCAGGAGGGATTTTATAGCACTGTATACAGAAAGGTGGTTACCCTTCCCTTTATTTTTATGACAACCTTTGTTATCTGAAACTTTAGCCACCTCATTTCTCTCCCATTATTCCAGATAATAAATATTAAACACCTGTTCTAGTACAGAACCTTGAGATATCCAAGTGCTCACTTTCAGTATTGAAAATTGATCATCTGTTCCTACTTCTGAGAATCTTTGTGACTCAGCCAAGTTCTTAAGCATGAGTAGTTGCCTCTCACCTCGTGACTATGTATTTTGCTGCTTTGTCAATTTTTTTTTATATCTTGTAAACTGGTTCTTTATCCACAATTTTGTTGCTACACAACAAAAATAAAAATAGTTCAGACACAGACTGTCATTTGCAGCTGAAGCTGTGCCATCTCTACCATACGTTATTTGGTTTTATAATTCTCTTCAAGTGTAGTTTTAACCAGTTTTCCTTGCACTGAATTAAGGCTCCCAAGCCTATAATTCATAGGATCTCCTCCAGTACTGTTTCAAGATAGGTATAATGTTTGTTCCCCTGCAGTCTCCTGATATAAACTGCTGGTTTTTAGGATATTGCATATTTTTGGTAGTACCTCAGAAGCCAATTCCAAATTCCTAGATTAATACCGTCTGGTCCTGGTGACTTGCTGCTCTGTAAAATTTGTTTCAGAACCTCCTTTTTTGATAACTTAATATTTATTACTTGAAAAGAGTAGGTAACTCCCCAACATACAAAACTACTCAAGACAGTTAAGTCCCAGGCAGACTGCGAAGAGCTACAAAAAGGATCTCTCAAAACTGGGTGACTGGGCAACAAAATGGCAGATGAAATTCAATGTTATTAAATGCAAAGTAATGCACATTGGAAAATATAATCCCAACTATACGTATAAAATGATAGGGTCTGAGTTAGCTGTTACCACTCAAGAAAGAGATTTTGGGTTGTGGATAGTTCTCTGAAAACATCCACTCCATGTGCAGTGGCAGTCAAAAAAGTGAACAGAATGTTGGGCACCATTAACAAAGGGATAGATAAAAAGACAGAAAATATTCTATTGCCTTTATATAAATCCATGGTACGTGCACATCTTGAATACTGCGTGCAGATGTGGTCGCCCCGTCTCAGAAAAGATATATTGGATTGGAAAAGGTTTGAAAAAGGGCAACAAAAATGATTAGGGTTATGGAACGGCTTCCGTACGAGGATTGATTAATAAGACTGAGACTTTTCAGCTTGGAAAAGAGACGACTAAGGGGGAATATGATAGAGGTCTATAAAATCATGACTGGTGTAGAGAAAGTAACTAAGGAAGTGTTATTTACTCCTTACCATAACACAAGAACTAGTGGTCACCAAATGAAATTAATAGCCAGCAGGTTTAAAAGAAACAAAAGGAAGTATTTCTTCACACAACACATAGTCAACGTGTGGAACTCTTTGACAGAGGGTGTTGTGAAGGCCAAGACTATAACAGGGTTCAAAAAAGAACTAGATAAATTCATGGCGGATAGGTCCATCAATGGCTGTTAGCCAGAATGGGCAGGAACGGTGTCCCTAGTCTCAGTTTACCAGAGGCTGGGAATGAGCGACAGGGAAAGGATCACTTGATGATTCCCTGTTTTGTTCATTCCCTCTGGGGCATTTGGCATTGGCCACTGTTGGAAGACAGGATACTGGGCTAGATGGACCTTTGGTCTGACCCAGTATGGCCGTTCTTATGTTCTTAACATCATCTATGGTGAAGACTGATACAAAATAAATCCTTTAACTTGTCTGCAATGTCCCTACCCGCTTAATGGCTTTCTTTACCTTTGGTGGTCAACAAGACTTCCTGCTTCTAATACACTTCAAGAATTTCTTGTTCTTATGTCTCTGAGTGTTTGCTCTTCAAATTCCCTATTATTCCTCTGACTTTCCATTTTAGCTGTTATAGTTTATGTTCTCTTTTTCCATTGCTTCACTTGGGCTAGAAATCCACTGTTAGAAGGTAACCTGTTTGGCTCAGATAACCTCTCCAATCTTACCAGTTAATCACATCATTTATTCTTCTCTTGCCTCCTTTTCAGTGAGAGATCCGCATGCCTCTTGTAGTTATGGTTGTAGAAGTCGTTTACATGCTCAAACCATGGTTTTTAAATTCCTTCCTTTTGGCTTAAAAAAGAGAGCCATAGCTAGTCAGTAGGATCATACATTCCATCTTCCTAAAGTTTTATGATCCCTTCCCTGAGGATGTTGACTTTACTCCTAGTTAAATAATATAATTGCCACTGCTATAGATTCAAGAAATATGAAGTCCTGTGTGTTGCTTAGGACTAATTGAAGAATAGCCTCTCCTCTTTTGGTCTAAAACTAGCTGTTCCAAGAAGCAATCATTTGTAATGTTGAGCAGTTGCTTATTTAATTCTTGTTCCATTGTGACAGACATGACACACATGCAGAACTGAAGTCACCCGTTATCATTGCATTGTTTGAGAGGGTTGCCTCTCTGGTGTCCTACAACATTATGCACTCCCTTTTCCTCATCAGGAGGCCACTAGTATATGTGTAGTGTTAGGACTTGGGGTTGGTAGGTCCTGTCAGTTCAAAACATTTCTTTTCCATTTCTATGAAATCTGCTAGGTGCTACTCCCCACCTCTGACCTGACCTGTCCTTCCTGTATAGTTTAGGGTTCCCCTGACTGGCCTTAATCATTGTCTGTAGTTCAAACCTCTTCCCTGGGAGGCAGGCAAAATATGCTACTTACACTTTTCAGATGCGGTAGCAGCGGAGGCAGAAAAAGGTTAAGACCAACACTTTCAAAAGTGGCCACTGGTTTGGGGCCCTTCACTATTTAGGTAGCCAATTGTAACAGCTTGGGTCTGATTTTTTCAGAGTTACTGAGCAGTCGTAGTTCCCAGTGACTGCAGCTGGCGTTTTGGGTACTTGGCACTTCCAGAAATCAGGTCCCAGGTGGGCACCTTGGATACATCTACACTGATACAGGCTCGCAGGGGTGGTGCTACAAAGCTGTTTTAGCAGTGTAGATGCTCCTGCTCGGACTAGAGACCAGGCTCTGAAACCAGGGAAGGGGAGAGGGTCTCCAAGCCCATGTTCCCATTTGAGCAGGAATGAATAAACATCTATTTTTAGCCTCAGAGTGCGAGCCCTGCAAGGCCAAGTCTGCTGCTCAGGCCACTTGTTGCCGTGGGGTTTATTTTGGAGTGCAGATGTATCCTTGAGACTGAGTTAGACTCTGAACATCAGCAGCCTTGTGGCCTGTGGTTTGCACAAAGTCACACAAAATTTATGGCAGAGCTGAGAACAGAACCAAGATCACTGCATTAATAGACCGATAGCTGATCCACCAGATGACATTGCTTGAGAAAAAACACTTCATATGTGGGTGCTTGGATATGCTGTCTGTAAAGTGGGGCTATTTGTGTCTGTTCTTCAACTGCTTTGAGATCTACAAGTGGGAGAGCTAAAAGTGAAGGGCTTGGGGCTGATCTATAATAACTTCTGAATACTACAGTTGAGCTGGTTTTTGGGATAGTTACTGTAGGGCTATATTGAGTGATTGGATTGTTCACTATGTGCGTGAGTTGACTTAATTTAATAGTGGAGCAGGGCTGTTTGGAAACTAGCAAGAAGGCAACCTCCTGGTAAGCATTCCCTAAATAATCTCCTGGTAAGCATTTCCAGGGAGCTAAAAAAACGATGCCTATGCTATTAAGCTGTGAAGACATTACTTCCAAAGACCAGTACAGTTAAAAGACTTGTTTGGACAAGGCTCGGGACTAGCATGTCAGAAGGACACTAAACAGTTAGTCATGCCTCTAGAGTGAGGGGGATGGCAGGTACCACGCATCGTGATGTTTTTTGTCTATTGGCTGCAACACAATTCCATTTGTGACTGAATTTGTTTTCTTTCTAATGCAGGATGAACCGGAGCCATTTTTCATGAAAATATGTCGGAGGGCCTGGGAGACCCATTATAGTCACTAGCCCACTGGTATTAGGCACTCACCATGGATGTGAGAGACCCAGGTTCAAATCCCTGCTCTGAATCAGACTTGAACCTGGGTCTCCCTCATCCCAGGTGAGTGCCCTAACCACAGGGGGCTACTAGCTATTCTAGAAGCATGCTTTCTCTCCGGTTTTGACCAGAAATTCCATCCTGGACCTGAGAAACCTTCCAAAAGAATCGGCATTTTCTGACCAAAAACCAAAAAAAATTGTTGAAAAATTCCCAACCAAGTCTTATCTATCTGTTATTACTTTATCAGATAACATACAAAACTATACAATGTCTTTGTGTATCAAAAGTGGTCAGCCATTTGATTCTTTTATCAGGTATTCCTTTAACTGGACATAGCCCAAGGAGATCTAAGTATAGCTATGGAGGCTGCACTTGAAACTGTAGAAGGTAGCTTGGGGAAAGGCTGACTCTCTTTTATGTGTGTGTGGCAGGCAACTGGGATCATTCATGCCGTCCTGGAGAAGTATGGCTCTTATGAGCGCTTTGAAGTGACCACTGGTGGAAGACTGCTGAGCAAATGCCAAATCTGGTCTATTATCCGGAAGTACATGCAGAAGGAGGGCTGTGTGGGAGAGGTAATAACTGTCTTCGTTTTGTTTATGAAGCACCTTCACCACAACCACTGCTAGCACAGATCAGTAGGGATAATAGGGAAACAAAGAGATGGACTCAGAAGTGCGATGTATACCGACAAAGCCAAAATTAAAAATGGCTATTGACTGAGAGGAAGAAATTTGGGAACCCATGATTCTTAGGACCCAACAGTGAGAGTGGACACCGAGTTAAGTATGAGCTTGCAACATGAAGTGACTGCAAACATATCTGATGTAATTTTGTGCTGCAGGAACGTCACCTAGAGTAGCAGGGTTTTAATAGCACTTCTCTATACGGCTCTGGTGTCTGCAGCTGGAAATATTGTTTTCACTTCTGAGCACTTCAGAACCAGGAAGATGTTAACAAACTGTAACACAAACAGTTCTAGGAATGTGGCATAAGAAAGACTCAAGGCATTTTGGTGTAAAAGTGATATCCAGAGTAACTTTACATAAATCAGACTTGTTGATTCCAAAACACAATGTTACCAAGTTGAGTTTTCACCCTTTGTGGACTAAATCCAGTTCTCGTGGAAGCAAGCACCCTTGTCTTGACTACAGTGGAGTTATACCAGAGCACCACTGAGCCCAGTGGCAGCTGTAAAACGTGCAAAAAACAATACACATTTATCTTAGTTTATATAGCTCCTCATCATATTAAATATTGGAGCCAAAGATCTAACCAAGTGTAGCCAATACTGGCCCATCTTGAGCTCCATTCATGGCTCACAGGGTGCAGAAAGCTGCCCTCAAAGGACTGCTGAGGATTCAGCTGCCATAATGCTAGCTCAGCTCTGCGCCACTCCCTCTGGGCCCCATACTGTAGCAGGCATAGATTTACAGATTTTTAAGGACAGAAAGGACCACTGTGATCATCTCGTCTGACCTGTATAACATAGGCCAGAGAAGTTCCCTGAATTAATTCCTGTTTGATTCCAGGAATTAAGTTTTTCTAAAATTAATTCCTGAAATCAAACATCCTACATTAATTTAAAAATTTCTAGTGACGAGAATCCACCACAACCTATAGTAAGTTGTTCCAATGCTTAATTACTCTCTCTGTTAAAAATTTGAGCCTTAATTTCTAGTCTGGGTTTGTCTGGCTTCAGCTTCCAGCCATTGTTATAATTTTATCTGCTAGATTGAAGAGCCTTCTGTCAAATTTCTGTTCCCTATGTAGGTACTTAGACTGTAATCAAGTCACCCCTTGACCTTCTGTTTGGTAAGCCAAATAGACTGAGCTCCTTGCCTATTGCTGTGAGGCATGGTTTTCAATCCTTTAATCATTCTTGTGGGTCTTTTATGAACCGTCTCTAGTTTTTCAACATTCTTCTTGAATTAGGGATACCAGAACTGAATACACTATTCCAGCAGCAGTCGCTCCAGTGCTAAGTACAAAGGTAAAATAATCTCCTTTTTCCATCTTGAGATTCCCCTGTTTACACATCCACAGTTCACATTAGCCCTTTGGGCCACAGTGTCACACTGGGAACTCACGAGCAGGCATGCAGGAAGAGAGGAGAGAGTGTGGCTAGAGATTGCTCTCAACCAGCAATCGCCATCAGGGTAAGAGCCCCTTTGGGGCCATTACAGAGCAGGACATACATGGGCAGTCCTTTACTGCCATAATTTTTGCCAGGGGTCAGAATCTTCCCTCTGGAAGCTCTGGAATTGGTCATGTACCAAGATGGCATAAAGCTGCTTTTGTCTTTACCCCACTCTGAGTCCTGCACTGAGCACAGCTTGACTGGGCCCAAGAACCTGGCCCATTATAGCTGAGCCTGTATATTGTATCATACATGCCGTATACAAAACGTATGAGGATCTGCTATCTTTAGTCGCCAGGGCCCACTCAATGTGATATGTTACAGTCATGTGTTTCATCTGTGAAGCTGTAATTAACATCGGTTAGCAAGTGGTCAGGCTCGTGCGTCACTGTGCTGGAAGCTGGAGAAATGTCAGAGTGTGACAGAGCTGCGCCGCTGCGTGAGACTGTTGAGGGGAGGAGGGCAGTGAGCTGCAGCTCATCGGGAATGGGTTGGAAATTAGAGAGAAAAGAAGCAACTTCAGCATCAAGGGGCAGGGGCGTGAAAGCACTGCAGGAGGAAACTCGTTTCAATAAATACTAGTCTCGGCTGGGGTTTTCAGTGGATGTGACGTTATGAATGTAATTCATATTCCAGTATGCGGAAATGACACCGCTCACCTAAAAATATTTTACCGAGCTCTAAATGAAGTAAAACCCCTCTCATTGCTGCATGTCCCCCCAGAGATAACATTGGTGAGCTTTATCTCACTTCTGGGGTGAAATTCAAACAATTTGAAATATTTTATAAAGAATGTGCAGACCAACAGCAGCATTTGATTGTGCGGACATCTGCATAGGCTGATTGAAGGTTGTAGCCAGCTGACAGGGTCTCTATGTGCTAGAGTTCCTCCTGGTCTGTCAAGAATGTTTGCTTCGTAGCTGATCAGACAGTGTGTAGCTTGGTGCTGAAGATTTGGGTGTAAGAGGAGTTTGGATTAGACATGACTCCCATTCCTCTCTTTGGCACTGACCAACCATCAAGAATGTGATTGGGCAAAATAAGATTTACTCTCACTCCTTTGTGAATTCTGTACTTACCAGTAGCAGAACAGAATAGGCCTTGGATTGCCTTACCATGCTTTTGACCACAGGCCCTGGAACAAGCCCAATGAGTGTGACATTTACACACACCCAAGGCTAGCAGGTCTAAAAGATGAACTGTCCTGCAGATTAATCTGTCCAATGTCTCTGTCACTGCAGTGACCAAGTTTTTGGACATATAAGCACATCACAAACCAACTAGCTCACACTGTTGGTGGTTTTGGGAGTTACATTTCCTGAAGGTAATGAACTATGTGTCTTTTGGATCCACTCCTTTCTCTTACTACTTCTCAAGACAATATACTCCAAGCTCATTTCTCTGTCCTTGTTCGTCAGAGCAGTGTGTCAAGCCAGGACTCCTAGCACCACTGCATAGATCTCTGCTGTTTGATCCAAAGAGGTAACGCCTTTACCTAGAAGGTTCCTATCGACTCCACATGAACATCCAACACAAACTGAACCATTGGTTCACTAATCACCCACACCCCGCAAAAAAACCCAACCAACTAAAAATCACCTTTTGACATAGTGGAAGCAAGTATTATTCAGCCCCTTTTTCCAGATAGTGAAAAGGAGAACAGAGATTCCGCAAGCTCGTGTCCTCTTTGCCAAGATGGGTTTTAACTGAAGTAGTATGTTTTCATAGCTGCAGAGTTTAGGAGCTCCTCAGATCACCCAGTTCTCTGGCATCCTACTCCCCTTCCCTATGGAATTGGACAGTTAAGGTTGTGAACAGACAGTGTGGGATTCCAGCCCTATATAGCACTCCAGCAGGATGTAGGTGGCATACGCAGCTTGCAGGGGGTCAGTGGAGTATCTCCTCCTCCCACCCCCAGTGCAGGCACTGCATTGCTCTGCCTTAGATAGTCCTACACTGGCACCCCTCCAGCAACTGAGGTGGAGTCGGGGTGGGGCCATATTGCCCATTGCTATAGCCTGCTGGGGTATTCCTGGCGAGGCTGCCATAACTGAAAGAAGCCCCCAGGGTTGCTTGAGTGGGGTGGGGAGTGCTCCCAGAACAGATCAGAATCAGGAGGCCACCCTTCCTTTGGCCTGGCCAGGCATGCTGGGTCTCCGCCAGCGGCAGCACAGAATCTCAGCCACACCATTTAATTTAAAACATGATCAAAATGTTGTAGTGAAAATTCAAGTACTTGAAAGCCAGGAAGCAGGGAGCTAACGTGGTGCGGACACAATTGTGGTTTCCTCTAGCTGTCTGTCCCCAGCCAGATCCCCACCTGCAATTCTGGAGTCTCCTGGGGAGCTGCATTCAATAGCAATAGTATACACAGTAAGAAGTGTTGATGAAGCACCACTGATAGTGTCTTAGAGTCAGAGCCCAGCCTCACCCAACAGCCTGGTCTGACTCCACAGTGATGGACTGCAAGTGGGCTGCAAAGGGGGCTCCTCCCCACCTAGGCTGTGTCTAAACCGGAGTTTGGGCCTGCTGGAACTCAAGGTGATTGGCAGCTAACACCTTTGCAAATGCTAATCTAGACTAAACCAGAGCAAAGTCTGGGTTTAAATCCCGGACCAAGCACTTGTGAGTGTCTAGATTAGCATTTGCAAAGCCAGATTGAGTTAGTTACTTCGGGAGCAATCGCTCCAATATAGCTGGTGGCTTCTCACCTCCCCCACCCCTGCCCTGGCCAGTGAGAAGCTGACTGCAGAGAACCCTAATGGGCTGCATGGGCCAAGCCATGGTAGTGGCTGCCAGAGCAGCAAGGGCGCAGCTCCCATCCTCCCACTGTCCCTGGGCATGAAGGGATATACTGATCTGGGAAGGCAGAGTACCACAGGTTCCTGCATGTCGAGCAGCATTCCACTGGTAAGTCTTTTTGCACTACAATTGGTGCTGACTATTAAAGACTTCCTTCAGGATCGTTCAGGCCGTAGACCCTGACCCTGTCTGGCTCTGTTCTGGCTCAGGGCGGAGGTGATGTTGTGAGAGCTTGTAGAGACCTCCTCACACTGCCCATGACTCTTCTAGGTGTGCCCACTCCCTGTCTATACTGGTGAGTATTGCACTGTTATGAAATACAGCTAAAGTGGTCTTTGACGTGTGAGGTGGCTTCAGTCAGGTTTCATTCTGCGCTGTGCTGGCCTTGCCCATGGAGACAGTTGGTTTATGAGGGACAGGACTGACTGGGTGTGTCTACCGTGCAGCTGGGAGCCTGCCTTCCAGCCCCCACAGGCAGACTCGAGCTAGCTCTGCTTAAGATAGCAGGCTAAAAATAGTAGGCTGTACACTGCAGCATGGGCTAACCATCTGAGCTCAGAGCTGGGCAGGCTTGGACTCAAGCCACCACCTGAGCTGCAACCTTCCTCTCAGTTCCTGAAGAGTGGGGTGGTG